TCTGCTTAACATTTATGGAAAAGGAATCTCAGCATGTCTGCAATATCCATATAAGGGGCTTGCACTGGGCTATCTATTTTTTTAACCCACTACCAATTTAATTATATTTTGCAGATTTAAAAAAAAAATCCAGCTGAGCTCTCTGATAGAAGGCTTAAGAGTCATGCATTTATTTTGGTTATATCACCATATTGTAAACATTTTAAGACTCTGCCATCTTTTAAAATGTGCGGGCTTCATATACCACTAGTAAGTTTAGTCAATTTTACAAAACCAACTAAGTAAATTTAAAAATATTTAGGTGTCCAGATGGTTTATTTTATAGAAGATTTCTGGGAATTTCTCATGTTGGAAAATATTGCTTGGTTGTGTTCTCCTCCGAACACCTCTCTATTAGGCTTCTGGACACACTCACACCGAGGGACTCTGGCTTGTTGTTCACGGATGTGGGGGGAGAACAAACAGAATTCTTATTGTTTTGTTTAAAATGTGAAGATATTTTCCCCTTGTCGTTAGTGGTGGGCGTTCATTGCATTATTGTCACTTCCGCACATTTCGGTACAGGTTTGTGGGATCTGTTATTGTGCTGGTGATGTTGATTATGATAATTATATATAATTATTTGTATCGCCCAGTGGCCCCAGCTGAAATGGAAGCCCCTCTGTGCCAGTTACTGTACATATATTTACTGAGAGATGTCCCCGCTCCAAAGACTTTACAATCGAAACAGACAAGGCAGACAAAAGAGTGAGAGAAACAGAGGCACAGAGAGTTGGATTTTTCAACTGTGACAATGACATTCATATGCGTTTACATAGAGCCTTCATGCCAAGAAGTTCATATCCCCATTTTCAGAAGGGGAAACAGAGCAGCTAAGAGCTGTCTCATGGCCACAGTGAGTCAATGGCAAAAAAGGAGCAGATACCAGGCACCCTGACACCCAGTCACCTGCTCCAAATTACAATTATATTCCCAAAAATGTCGCTACTTGTATAATGGAATCTCCTGATATCCGATACTGAATTATTGTATTTTGCATCCATTGTTGCACTGAGGTCAATTACTGCACAAGGCCCTGGGGCAGTGGAGACTCTGATCCAAAAACTGGAGGTTTGTTTCTCACATTCCTCTGTCACAGGACACTGAAACTGCTTCATCTCTGTTAATTGAAACACCCATCTTTCACTCCAGTCCATGCTCATGATATCACAGCAGTTAACTGGGGTCTGAAGATTCTGTCAATCAATGGGACAGTCGGCCTCCAGTCAACATCCCAAACACTTACACGGCACAGCTGTGAGGAATGAGCTAAAATCATGTATCAAAGAACTTTTTTTAAAAAGGCAAAGTTGCTTATTTGTGTACTAGCAGATTTACCCGGCGTTGCCTGGTAGTGCCAAAACAGAGCACTATTCCAAATGTCTTTGTTTTATCTTTTTTTTCCTGTAAGGTTTATTGAGAAGTAATCCTATTCAAGGTTTGCCCTATTTTTCTAGCTTATCCTGTCACAGTGTCTCTTTCAACATTCTCTCAGTTATGTTAGTTGTGAGGACTGTACTTGCATTGGTGATTGTCTCGTTCTGTTTGGTTTTATGAGAAGCAATCCCATTCTAGGCACATCCCGTTTTCCTGGCACAGCCAAACCCTTACCTTGCTTTAAATTATGTGGCAAGGTCCTTGCCTTGAGACCCCTTCCTGGGTCACAAATCAACCAGAGACCCTTTCTGGTGCAGTCACCCATGCCTTTTATTGTCAGTACCAATTTACGGAGCTTTTGTTCACAGCAAATTCAGCCAGCCTCTCCTTCTGGCCTGGGAGCACACTACACCACACTCTGGCTACTCCCCCTTCCCCTCTGGGGGTACATCTAGACAACATTCTTTTTTCGAAAGGAGATATGCAAATTCAGTGCTAATTTGCATATCTTCTTCCAATTGCTTTTTCAAAAGCTTTTTTTTTTTCCGAAAAAGAAAGTGGTTTAGATGCAGTTCTTTCGGGGGAAAAAAACTTTTTTGAAAGAACCCTGCACACCTTATTTTTTGAGGAAGAAGGGTTCTTTCGAAAAAGCGGGTTTTTTCACAAGAACCGTGTTTAAACAGCTTTCTTTTTCAAAAAAAACCCCACTTTCGAAAAAGCGATTGGAAGAAGATATGCAAATTAGCACCGAATTTGCATATCTCCTTTCGAAAGAAGAACATAGTCTAGATGTACCTTGGCTGCCTTACACAGCCCTCTGGCTAAGGAGGTGCACAGCGGCTTCCATTAGCCCCTTCAGGCCTGAGCTTGCTCCTTTGGCTTCCATTTGGCCTTTTCAGCCAGGCATTCATAGCAGAGCTCTGGCTTAGCCAGCCGTCTGACACAGTTCTGATAAAAGAAAGCTGAATACTGAATGTGATGGTCCTAGCTCTTACCGCTTACGAGTTCTTGGACACAGACGGACAGACACACACTCCAATACATAGTAGACATCTACTTCACTTTCCCATTGGCTCATCTTACATGCAGCACCCCCCACCACAATATTATGTGTCTTTGGTAGTTGCTGGGTAATTAACTTGCAAAGCTGTCCTTGTTCAATGACCTGCCAGGCATTTTAAATACTGTCACAGTACTTCTCAGAGCAGAATTAGTCCATTTTGCCATTGTTTAATCAGAGTCTGGGAGAAGCCTGCTTTTGCTTTTGCTAAGTAAATAAAGATCGGTACTATTAAAGCAAGCATGCTCAGGTGTGTGAATTTAAACTACTTGTGTATTTGGAAAGGGAATATTTTTTCTCCTTCTTTTGAAGCACTAGCCCAGTAGAATATTAATCTGGGATTGTAAAAGCGACTGTAGAAAAATCACTTTTCCAGAACACACACACATAGCCCTAAACCATTCTTCAAACATTGAAGCAATCCTGCAGCACCAGAGGACTTTGTTTTGTGTATTTGCTTGTCCAGACAGCCTAGAGACTGAGGCATGGACTGAACTGTTCCATGTGTTTCCTTGCGGAGACAACATAATCTCCAGCAGGTATGCACAAAAGATTTGGTTTGAATTAACGCTTTATTGATTTTATGTAAAGACATGTGAGGATGCAACAGTGAGCAGAGATTATGCATGCTGCACTTAAAGTGTACATAGGAGTCGTATCAGAACAGCAGACCCAGCTACACGATCATGCCACATTTCACAACATTTTCGCAAGGTGCTCAAACACCAAAGTGATGAACGTGGGGAAAGGGTGTAAGATCAAAACCACGGACATCAATGGGAAATGATCTCATTTGTGGGCTTTGGATCAGGGCCAATATACATTGGGCGAAGTTATAACCGGATGTAGCTTGGTCTGGTTTCATATCAGTTTGGACAGGTGGATTTAGATTCAGGACTTCGATGTAGTCCATTACAGGAGCTAGCTGCAAAATTCAGCTCAATGTGCCAATCAAAAGCTAATCTCCACCAGAATTTCTGGATGTTTGGGACCTGTCTCTAGTTAGAAATAGGCATGAAACGCCTGCCTATGTGAAGAGCAATAAAAAATTTTAAACGGCTGGGTGGGGAGCGATGAACAGTCTGGAAACGACATGCCAGAGCCCCGTGTGCGTCTAAGAAACCAGCGAAACAATGAAATGTCTCAGTAATTATCACATGGATTTGCTACTGGGGGGGGGGGACACGTATGGCAGAGATTTAACATGTTTTTTATCAGAGGGGTAACCGTGTTAGTTTATGTCCTCAAAAACAATGAGGAGTCCTGTGGCACCTTCATGAATTAGGGTTTTGCCCATGAAAGATTATACCCTAATAAATCCGTTAGTCTTTAAGGTGCCACAGGACTCTGCGTTGTTTTCAACGTGATTTTTGTTATTTGAGCGCACAAACATAAATAAACTGCCCATATCTCTGGAGCAACGCTCAAAAGTCAAGTTTTGTTCATTATTATGTATAGATGGAACCTCTCTAATCCAGAACTCTCTCATCCAGAAACATCCGTCGTCCACAATGATTTTATTGAGCTGGATGGTCACTTTTCATGGGTGTGGCCAAGTTTCCCACAGTCCTATAAAGTTTGTTTACAGCCACTACTCCTGGCTCTCAGTGTTCTGTGCTGCTATTAGCTCTAATTTACCCCTAAATGTCCTCTAACAGCACAATAAGCAGTGGAAGTGTTGGTAATGCTGCTAGACAATATTGACCTCCCGTGGTCCAAAAAATTCTCTGGTTCAGAACTAGAGAGGTTCAACCTATACTAGCATATTTACCCAGCATTGCTCAGGTCTTTAAGGAGGGGCTCAAGGCAGGGGGCTAAGAGAGTGGCGATGCAGGAGTCAGAGTGGGAGTGAGGAGTGGCTCTGGGAAGGGGAATGGGTATGTGTGTGTGGGTAGGAAGTGGGCAGGGAGGGTGGGGAGAA